AAGAAAAATTTAAAAATTTTAGTACGAGCCAATTTTGAACCCGGCTCACCCGGGTTGAACTTGTGGTGAGCCGGGCTGGCTCACCAACCCGTAATAAAAACACAATAGTTATTGGGCCAATGTGTATGTGTAGATGCAGCCCAATAGGATTTCAATTTCAATCAGAATAATTTCAATGCCTCTCACTTTCATACCCTCTCACACGCAGCCACCACACCGCACCATAGCTGCCACCGCACTACACCATAGCTACCACCGCACCGCACCATAGCTACCACTGCACTGCACCATAGTTGTCGCCGCACTGCATCATAGCTCCCACCGCACCACAAGTACCAAGCCCCACCGCGCACGTCATGAGCCACCGCGCTCATCGCGAGCCACCGCACGCACTGCAAGCCACCGCGCCACTGTGCACACTGCCAATCGCGAGCCACCGCGCGCATCGTGAGCTACCGCACACATCGCGAGCCACCGCGCACCACCACCCCGGGCCACCTCACAGTCTCGCACTGAACACCAACGCGTTTAGTTGTATATTAAAAAAATTATATTTTTTTAAAATTATGTGAGCCAACCCGTTTAACCCACCAACCCATGGTGGGTCGGGCCGGGTTCAAATTTTTTGAGCTCACTAATAAATGAGTTGGGTTGGGTTGGCCCACCAAATGATCAATTCATTGTGGGTCGGGCCGGGCCAGGTTACCCATTTTGACAGCTCTATGAACAACAATGCAAATACCTCATTAATATTTTTCATTTTTTTTATCACATCATTACTCGTATTTCTCTCTCTTCTATCTATCTCTTAAGGATGTTTAATATACGGAATGTGTTTACCTTTTTAAGAATCTTAAATTGGGGGAATCTTATTTTTACAGTTTTTTTTGGTAAAGAATGAAAACTAAAACAGCAGACAACTCAAGACATAGAGTCTCTTCCTAATGGTAATAGGATAAAATCAGGAGGACTCCTCCAAAATACATTAGAACCTATGTTCCGTACACCCCAATTAGCAAGCGTATGAGCTACTGAATTCATCTCCCTAGGAATATGACTTACGTAAACTCCCCAGTCCCTAGCTATCATGCACTTAATACGACGAATAACATCATAGTGCTTATGCAGATAATCCCTATCCATTGTCTGGTCTTGAAATAGTGTAACTACTCCCAGGCAATCACATTCGCAACTCACCTTCCGAAACCCACCTTCCTAACAAACCGATAATCCCTCCTCCAAAGCCAACAGCTCCGCACGTAGCGCATCACCATGTCGAACTCCACGTGAGAAGCCTCCCCGCCACATACCTGCCCAATCTCGAATTACTCCCCCCAGCCCCATAGCAGAACTCTGACTCAACCAGCTCCCGTCCGTGTTTAGTTTGACCCACGGGTGCTCCGGAGGCCTCCAAAGTGATTGCTCCACCCATAAACGCCTCCTAACGTTGTACACACTGTTCTCCACCGTAGACATTAGCACCTTCCGACGGACCGTCGAGATCGTCCACAGTTCGCCGTTAAACAACATGTTATTCCTAAACCGCCAGACCCACCACAAGGTAATGGAGAGCTTAACGGCATCCTTGTGCAGAATAATCCCCTTCAGCTATTGGAAGCAATCCATTACAGAGAAGGACCAACCCACACTGGCCCCACCAGACAACAGTGCCTCCCTCGAATACGGGCAATCACGAAGAGCATGTAAAATAGTCTCATGAGGGCAAGAGCAACGCGAACACGCACCAGACTCAGCCAACCTCCTATCAGCCCGAACCTGATTCTTTGGAAGGGCTGAATGAAAGCATTGCCACAGAAAGAACTTAACCTTCTCAGGGAGCATTAACTTCCAGAGCTTCTTCCAAACTTCATCCCCTTCTGTTGTCAAACATGTAGTCAGGAAACGATACCCAGACGCCGCTGTATAGCAACCCGAGCTGTCACCCCTCCAAGCAAAATGATCCAGCTCCAAAGAAGAGGTGGCAACAGTCAACCGCTGGACTGAATGAATCAGTTCCGCCGGAATAGCAGTATACAAGGAAGTGAAGTCCCAATGTCCGCTAACCCAACAGTCTGCTACCGTTCTGTTAGTGTCTGCAATATGAACAAAAGGAACTCTCCCGCACCAAAGCCCAGCACCTGACCAGTCCGTGTACCAAAGAGATGAAGCACCAGATCCTAGATGAGGCTCGAATCCCTCACGAAGGGAAGGAAGGACCTTAATAAGACTTGACCAGGTTGGAGACGCACCCCGCCTATTTTGCGCACACAGGATAGATTCTCCATGTAGGTATATATTGCTGAGTATATGAACCCAAGGCTTCTGTGGAGCCGTAAGGAGATCCCAAATTAACTTTCCAAGGAGTGACACATTCACCCTTCGCGCCTCCCTAACCCCTAGGCCACCAAACGTCAAGGGTTGAGTAACCACATCCCAACTCACTGGGGACCAAAACCGTGCGCAATCAGACTTTGCCCAGAGCATGCGGCGACAAGCCTGATCAATTCTATTGCACACTGCTTGAGGAAGCCACAATGTTTGCATGCTATACACTGGGATAGAGCAGATAGTGGACTTCACGAGACACAACTTACCGGCCTTGTTAAGAAGCTTGGACTTCCAAGCCGCAAGTCTACCCTGGATCTTATCCATCACATCATAAAAATCTGCGCACCTCGGCTGCCCATGAGTCATGGGAACCCCCAAATACTTCCCAATCCGATTTGTGTGGCCAATCCCCAGCAATCCCTCTAACGTTTCAATTCTCCTCTGAGAAACCCTTCTCGAGCTCACGAACTTAGACTTAGTCAAATTGACTTTCAAGCCTGATGAGCGCGAAAACTCCTCCAATACTGACGCCACCAAACGAGCTTGGTCCTCTGAAGCGTGACAAAATAGCAAAATATCATCAGCAAAGAGAAGGTGTGAAAGTGGTAACCCCCCAGGGGATAGCTGAATCGGTTTCCACTGACCCGCCTGTAGCATCTCAGAGATCCTAAGGGCTAGCCGCTCCATGCAGAAAACAAACAGATATGGAGATAATGGGTCTCCCTGCCGAAGGCCACGAGACGGAACAAAGGACGGTAGTGTGCTTCCATTCCAAAGAAGTGAAATTTTCGAATTCTTCAACCCCCACATAATGAGTTGGATTGTGACGGTTGGGAACCCAAACTACGCTAGCGTCGACTCCAAGAAATCCCACCTGACCCTGTCATATGCCTTTTCAAGGTCAATCTTTAACGCCAATGACCCCACACCTGAGCCTTCCTTCCGTACGAAATGGAAGGCTTCTTGAGCAATAATACTATGATCACGAGTCCCCCTCCCAGGGATAAAACTGCCCTGGAAAGGACCAATGACATCCTGCAGGAAGGGTCTAAGACGAGCCACTAACACTTTAGAGATAACCTTCCAGGCCACATTACATAAGCTTATTGGACGAAAATCTTTAAGGCTAACTGGATGGTCCACCTTTGGAATTAACACCATTTGAGTCTCCAATAGCGATACTTCCGAGAACCCAAACCGAAAAGCATCTTTCACCGTACGCCATAACTCATCACCCACAATAGGCCAATATTGCTTGAAAAAGAACGGTTGAAACCCGTCCGGCCCTGGTGCCTTGTACGACTTCATGCTCATCACCGCCCGACGAACCTCCTCCTTCGTGACTGGGGCAGTTAAGGCAGATTGAGCCTCAACTCCCAAGCCAGGTGGAACCCCATTAAGCATGTCTAGAGATTCTTGGTCATTATTAATCAAGAAAAGATCTATATAGAACCGGACTGCCTAAGTTTTCAACACCTCAGGATCCATGTGCCAAGACCCATCTGGAAGAAACAACCCCTGGATTTTATTCTTCCTCCTCCTCACAAGAGTTTGAGCATGGAAGAAGGACGTATTACGGTCCCCAAACCTCACCCACTTCTCTCTAGATTTCTGAAACCATAAAAACTCCTCCTGAAGACAAGTTTCGTCTAACTCCACCTGAATGGCCTTTTCTAAGCGCGACAGGCTATCAGATTCCCCTATCTCGAGTTGTAATTGTACCCCTTTAAGACGTCGTTGTAGAGCCTTCTTTCTAGTAATGATATTTCCAAACACCTCATGATTAAACTTGATGGCATCCACACGAATAGCTTGTAACCCACTAGCAAGGGTCAGTGTATTCCGGCACCACGCCTCCCTAACAACTCGCTCAAAATCTTTATGGGTAGCCCATGCAGCTTGGAAACGAAAGGGTCGATCGTGAGAGTTGTCCCTTGAGCCTTCCCGCCGCAGTAGAAGAGGGCAATGGTCAGAATAGACCCTGCACAGATTCTCATCATATGCTTCCGGAAACATAGCTTGCCATGCAACATTACACACCACACGGTCTAACCGCTTAGCCAGTACCACTCCATGTTGATTACGATACCATGTAAAACGAAGACCCTTGGCCCCCATGTCAAGAAGGTTGCAATCATTCAAAACCTCCAGAAACTGTGAAGCCCTTGATACCGAGAAACGACCACCCCTACACTTTGTTGACAACATAATTTCATTGAAGTCCCCAAGCACTAGCCATGGCAACTTAATCCGCCCCCCCAATTCCCGGAGATGAGCCCATACTTGCTGTCTGAGGTCCACCCGAGGATTAGCATAAACGGCCGTACACACCCAGCTCTTACTTCCTTCCACAACCTTAAACGAGATAGCCTGAGGGTGAGAGGCAAACTCAGATATGTTGGCAGAGCACGATCCCGCCATCAAAACCCAAATACCTCCTGAATGCCCCGTAGCCTCCTCGCTATAACACAACTGATAGTCCATCTTCCTCCAAAAGGATTCCACCGAAGAAAACTGGCAATGAGTTTCCAAAACAATAAAAAAAGACGGGTGGTGGAGCCTTACCAACTCCGAGACCCTCCTTTTACCTTTGGCATTCACAGCCCCTCTAATGTTCCAACTCACAATGTTAAAATGTGTAGTCATTAATAACAGCAAGATACGACATATACTCAAACCATCATGGTCTCCAATGGCTGGTCGTATTGCATGATATCCTCCTCCCCCTGAACCTCTCTTACGTTGTCCTCGGAATCAATATTTACGTTGATTGTACACCCCGTTTGAAGCACACTTATTGCCGTACGCTGCCTACCATCTTGCACAATGCGTGGGTCTCCGAGATGAGGGCTGTTGCGCTGGCTTCGGTCCTTAATCACGTTCGAAGCTGCTAAAGCAGACTCGCCAGCTGGAACGGGCTGTGGGTGCGCACCTAACTCCCCCCTTCTGCTACGTTTCTTCCG